TCATTATTTTTCTTCTAGAATGCAATTCCTCTTGTAAGCCAGTCTGATCTTGACAAAGCAATTGAAATCTTGGACAGAAGCCAGCACCTCACCAGCCTTAGAATACTCTTGTCACTACCTAATGGCATCAGTGACTACACCAGTCACAAATCTAATGTGCCAAATGCATCAGTGATGCCTCCAAGCAACCCAAAGGTTGGATCTCTCTTTGGCAAACCTTTCTATGTAAGTGAGAGTTAAGAAATCCCTTGTCACAAATTGTTTTGGTTTTAATGTTTTTTCTCATTAATTTTCCTTTCGATGTAAGGATTGTTGCTACATGTAAGTTACCACAGTTATGGCCGTGTTATCATTGTGAAATTAGCTTTGCAATCGTAGGATAAGTTGGTTTTTTCAATGTGGTTGAAAATATAAACTGGCCACCCTGGCAGACAGTTTCTAAAGCTGATGTTTTCAGCATCAGCCTTTCACCAGGAGGATTGTGGGAAGGATAATACAAGAAACATCAGCTGCACCACAGTTTCTTTTAATTAGAAACTTGCCTCTCTTTTCCCAATTATAGATCACTGAAAGAGTCGAAAATTTTTGACAAAAAGCTTAGAAAGTTGCAGAATTTAAAATAGTTGGCAAGACCCTACTATGTGTATAAACGACAATCTTTTGTGATGAGTAATTTTGTTATTTCTCTTAAATGAATAGAAAAAAAGACAACCAAGAAGTTATGGACTTGGAATCAGGTAACCTGCCTTACATTTTGTGTAGCCTTTTGTTCTTCTAATATTTACTCAAATACTCACTCACAATATTTAGTTCCTGATTAATGAGGATTTAAGGCATCTCTCCAGGTCTCAGTCAACCCCTGATGAGATCGCTTACATGGCAGTGGATCCACCCAACACACCAAGTTTATCAAGATACATCAATGTGCAGTACATGTCATCCAGTAATATCAACACCAGAGGCCGAAACTCTCCCCCTCCAGGATTCCATCATGATGAATTCCCAGCTCAGCCTTTCCATATGGTCAGGGTAAGTTGTGATTGAGCATTGATTGACACAGATTTTCTCCTGACAATTAGGAAAGAGGGTTTGAGAATGAGGGAAACAGTCATGTATGAGATATAAAGTGTTACGCTGTACTTTTTTGAACACTAAACATTTTTCACAGTACCTGTTTTGGTAGTTATATAAGATTGCATTTCTTAGGAGATAAATTTTGTTTTAAAAAGATCAGGATTCAAGTCCTCTGCAAGCTCTTTAGGGAATGGATCAGTCTACTTTATTTTCTTTGAAGTTTAAGCCTTAAACTCCACTTTGACACATACTTAAAAACTCAACCAAGAATCAACCTTTTTTCCTCATACATCTCACCGTTAACCACCCTTAAGATCTCATTGGTAATTCTCATTACCATCTGGCATGCAGTTTTTTTGATGTTAGTTTGGAGAATCTGGTGTTGAATCAACTTACAATCCCCTTATTGATATGTTTCTTTATTCTTGTTATTTTATTGTATGTTCAATATTGTATTAATAGTCTGGGGAAAATTCCATCTTGGTCACTCACAGAAGTTTTTTAAGGGTTAATACATTTTTGTTGGTTCTATTACAGGGTGAAGGTGAATTTATACCAGAAAGCCAAGATCATGTGGTATGCTTCATAATCAGTCTTGAAAATTATATGTTCTACTAAATATTTTCATCTTTTATGTGAATAAGACTAAGAGGGAAAAAAATATATCTTGTTAAATGGCAGGTTCAAATAGTTATAAAAATTCAGATCAATATCAGTATCTGGGCAATGGCCCACCTACCCCTCCCCTAACCCAATATTCACCCTAACTTGTTATCAATTGACTGTTGTTGGGTTAGGGGAGGGTAGGTGGG